GATCTGGACGCCGAGGAGTCAGCTGGTGGGCGTTCAGTCGTTATTCACCACCTCGCCGGGAGTCTGATTGCTCGGAGAACCGCGAGCTTTTCGAGCTTTGCCTCAGACCCGTGCGCCGCCAATCAACGACGCGATTTTATCCGCACGATCGATCGCAACGGAAGATCCGATCGATAATCGGTTCGTAAATTGAGATTCGAGAAACGTACAAGATGTCGTGCTCTTGATATTAGACGTTTCGTGTATAGATATTTTATTCCGTTTTATTTTATTATACTTCGTGCACGTGCAAGCAAGTCAGGTTTACTTTTTCTTACAAGTTGTAATACCTTTATTTAAATGTTCTTCTCTTTTGAGAACGTTCGTTAATTTTATTCGCACACCGATTTGATTAATTAATTTTTGTCACACACACTAGTTTTATCTCTCGTATGTTAAAGGAGTTGGTTCGCGTCTATTTTCGTCCCACGAGCAAGTAATCGCAAGAGGAATATATTTCTTGTCGTTTTATCCGAGACATTAACAATGAGTACATTACGTTATTCTCTTTCCTGTACGTTCTTTGATTTTGTCGATAATTCAACTCAATTTATTTTTATTATTTCGTATAATCGGGTTGATCTTGTTCTTATTCTTTCGCGAGCATAATCACGAGAAGAAGATCTCCATTCTTTGATGCACTTTCGCGTCATTTGCGATTCCGCGTTCGTTTAAAATAAATTAATATCATGTATTATCAGGGAAGAAAATATTGAAAATTCTGTACATATTTGAAGATTTTTTTTATAAAAAAAAAAATAATAGAATTCTTATACTTTTCATTTTAGTTTGTATACGAAACAACCCTTTGCACTGTGTATCATCAGAGACTTTAGGTTTCATAAATCTGTTTGGCCCCGTAAAAGGGGATGTTTGTTGCAACGTTTTAAAAGAAATGTGTTTGGTATTTATTACCCTCCCAAGTATCTTTTTCGATGCACAAATACAGTATATTTTATACATTTATACTTTTCCCGGAGGAAAAATTTGGCAAAGTACCCTCATGTTTGGGGAAAAGTTTTTGAATGAAAATTCAAACCGCGTGAAGGAAAATGATTAAATATACGTGTATGTTTAAAGATATTATCAAATTTTTCAGTCTTTAGAATCCCTTTGTAGTAATACAATAAAAATTATTTTAATTTCTATCCTCGTTCACAAAGAAAAAGCCGGTCACTTACGAGAGTACCAAGACGAGCAACGAATCGAATCGTCACCGTCAAAATCCGAGCGTTGCCCCGTGCTCCTCGTCCGCGTAATCGATTTGAAAAATGCCGGTACGATGTCGCCCCGGCACGGAAATCAATTCCGTCGCGGTTACAAATGCTCGCCCGCATCTACCCCGATTATTAGACTGTCCCCGTAAAGTGGCCATCTCTCGAGATGATTTATCGAATCACCCGAGAGGTTTGCAATTTAACGCGTGGTCAGATCTTCAAGTGTCCAACGACGTGTCTCACCGAGCCGAGTCTTTCGTCGAACGAAACGAACGAAAGGGAGGGAAACGAAGAACCTAATGGGGAAAGAAAGAGGAAGGAGAGACGGAGTCCCTTTTCGTGGGCGTTCCGTTTGATTACGTTCATTAAACGTACGACCGGTGGTACGTTCGTTTTACCCGGCGGTATCAGTTTCTTCTTCGCCGCGCGCGTTCTCGTTTGCTGCCGATATCGAGCTGCTGTGATCTGGAGCGTGTAGTTGCCCGCGCGCGCGCGGCCCAAAGGATCGAGATCGAGCGACCGCGGAGAGAGATACAAGCGAAGAGAGAGAAAGAGAGAGAGAGAGAGAGAGAGAGAACGCTCCGGGCTGAACGCTCCTCGACTCGCTCGACGGAGAAACAAGAAGCAGAGGAAACAGGAAGGAGGAGAAAAAAGAATTTATCGTACGACCAGCACGGCTAGGAGGGAAAGGGAGAGCCGATCGGATCGCGGGACGAGGACAGTAGAAAATGCTAGGAAAAGGAGGATAACATCTCGTTAGACTAGTCTAGCAAGCTCCGGGGGCCTGGTTCCACCGCTTCTTGCCCTGTGCTCGAGATTGATCATCTACGCATATGCCGCGCTTATCCCGTGGCCCGTTCCCTCGTTACTCCCGTGGCTTCGATCAACAGCCTCGGCTCTTTGTCCGACACGCAGCGCCGAGAAAAATCAGCCGTCCGATGTTTGCTTTTTCGCCAACGTGATTGCTTAACGGAGTCTCGCGCCTCTGCTGCTCCTTTTCTTGCCTTTTCTTCGTCCTCCCCTATGGGCCTTTTATCATCGTTTCAAATCGTAACAAACGACTGCGACGATTACGAATTGATAGTACGAATTGGCGCTTGATTCGGAGTCGATCCGGGAGGGGAGGGGGGAGTCTGCGGTCTTGCTTGATTTATAGGCAGGGCCCGGAAGAACACGAAACACCGGCAATGTTCAGCGCAGACGCGATGTGGGGAGTCCCAAATTGCTGTTTCTTCTTGCGACGAGCAATCCTTCACCACCCTTGTAACCCACGCAGTGCCTTTGTTGGCGAGGCACAAAAATGTCTCGTTAGACCCCGCCATGTAAATGAACGTCATTTGTGCGTTAACATGTCTGATTCCACGATCAAGTAACACGCGTCTTGTTGTCTCCCATTGTCGTTCATCCGATTGATATTTCACTTCTGTATGATACGTAAAAAATCTCTCAGTCGATGAAATTCGACATTTCCAGCAGGAAAGGAGTTTACTTGTGTTGATAGACGAGTAATCGCTATCGGTGTTATAATTAGTGTATCTTGTCTCCGAGTTTCTCTTTCAATCGTGTACCTTTGAGCCTCTTTTGTTCTTTTGCTACTTTGCTTGCTCGCAGCGGTATAACGGCAGACGCACGAGCTTCTTACAAGTGTTCCTCTTTACAATAAATTCCGTGTTCTAAAGTCACAACGCATAATTTTTAAGAATCCAGCACCGCAATTTTAACAATTTGAAATCCCAACGCGATCATTAATACTAACAACGCGAGAAAATTCACTTTTACCGACGATTGATTTTCATTTTAATGGTGGCTCGTTATTCGTCACTAATCGATAACGATTCGCTGCTTTTTCAACTTCTCTGAAACAAGGTTAAGATAACAGGAACGCGATATCGGGGCAAATCGACCGAGTAAAATCCGGCTTAGCTCGGCGGAAAGGCGGAAAAATGCGCGAGAAACTAGGTGAAAGGAATTTCGATCGACTTTGTGGTTTCACGGTCCGCAGACACCATTTCACTGATTCCTCGACGATTTTGTTATTAACGGGCAGCTAGTAAAGCCTGATTTGCATCGGATGGACGTGTGACGCGCTATTCTTAGGATAACCTCTTCGTAATCGCGAGCGCTGGAATTCGCCTCGCGACAGTGGCGTCAGCGAGCTGGTTACTCGAGTAAGTTCTTCATTCACGCGTGAAACAACTTCCGCGTCGATATAAAAGGAATGTTGTTCATGCACGATACACCATTTTTTGCTGGGTGAATGAAACGTCGGTCGGCTTTTTTCTCTTTTCTTTTTTTAACGAAATTTCTATCGTGCAATTCGATTTAATCTCCTTCTTACGTTTGTCGAGATTGTTTTTTTGTTGTTTTTTTTTTTTTTTTTTTTTTTTTTTTTTACTGAAATATAACTGTCGTATAGTTTCGAACCTTTTCTCATTGCCAGTGCGAAACATTCCAATTTTTCTTGTCCAACGTTTCAACGCGCGTATATCTCTCCTTTTTTGTTCGTTTAGAACGTGTAATCGAGTCGTAATAATCGCGAACACGAAACGTTACTCAGTGGCAAGGGGATAATCGACGAACGAATGGTATTATATTGCTTCATCGCTCGAAATAATGTGGTAGTCGTTAGATAATGGTATCTAATGTCACAAGCGTTTGGTGTCGATACGATATGTTCGCGAACCACCTACATTAGGCACGTAACAATGGCGTAGAAACTAATTTCAGTTACTTCTGCTATAGATTCATATTTTTATTTTAAACAAATAAGCACCGTCGTTATTTTCGATCGAGACACTCGTGCACTGTGTACTTCGCGTTATTGAAAGTAGGCGCGACCTCACACTCCATCAACGGTGGAAGTGAATTTCGCGATTTCGACGCCAGTAATGCGTCCACGTAGGCGGTTTTAGTGGTTGGACTGTTGCTGTGTCAAATGTCTCTGACATTAGCTACATTGCTATCTAACACGCTCCATTACAAGTAGGCAGCGTTCACGATACATGGTTCGTGGGTTTTTTTTTTAAATTAAAGGATCAAACTAGCGTTACCGATTGATTCTGTGGTATGCGGGACTGCGTGTCTCTCTCTCTTTGCAGTGGCAGCTGAATCAAGGCGAAAGCGTGCATGATCATACCGAAAATAGAGTGGCAGTAAAAAAATGACGGTGCCGTTATACCGAAGGAGGAGTTTCAGCGACAAGAAAGATAGTAGATAGTGCAAAGTCATTGAGTAAATAAAACAGTTAGTAGAAATATTAAAAAAAAAAAAAAAAAAAAGAAAAGGATTTCAGGTATAAAGAAAGTAGAACAAGAATGTTAAAATGAGGAACATTCTGATGAACTTTGAGAAGTCGATCAAATCTATTTTTTCTTGCATTGCTCAATTACAAGGTTAATGTTCAATTTTCAAGAAACGAGTAGCTCGTTTCCATATTTCCATGTATATCTATGCTCGCAATTATACGACAGTTGAAAGCTTGAATTATCGTTTTCGTTGATAAGTTTGTCGTGTAATTGCGATATAGTTAAAAGCTTTTCTATTGTATTAGAGTAACGTCAGCTATCAGTTCTCAAGTTTCAAGGAGATCGTTCGCGAAACTTTGGCTTCACCTGGTCGTCACCTTGTGCCGACGTCGTTGCGAATCGCGTTCCGCGTTCTCTCACGAGCGAGTGGCTCGTCCATCGATCGAAAACACGCGTCAAACACCGCCCACAGGATCGGCCGAGGAGTTAATTCGATGCAATTCGTGCGGAGCACGCGAATGCGAGTGGTTCAACGAGCGTAGAAAGACCTCTATCATCGAATCCAATTTACCGAACACAACCGGGCCGATTACATCGCAACGAGAACAGGTCTCGCGTGGAACTACTCGAGAGCCACGAGTCCTCTCATTAGGGTATCGGGTCACGAGTTATATCTATCGCGTTGCTGTTCTGTGGCCTGGTGTGTGCGGTTATGGGGGGATTATATTCGCCAACAGCCGTCGGTCAAGGTTCGCCGAGATAAGACCGGGTAACCAAATAAACGAGGAAGGAAGGAGTCGAGCCTCCAAGGAACGAACGTATACCGTACAGCTTTTAATCGAGGACAACGGTCTCACGGTAATCAATTAATCTCTCGGCCCTCATCGTTCATCCTATCGACGGATGTTAATAATTGAGTTGGTATCGCAACGACGGGGATTCGGGGAGGCGTTTCTAACTTGTGCCCGTCTGAGAAATAAGTTTCGGAGTTTGATTTAAAAGTTTCTTTGATTAACGAGAGTCGTCCCACTTATTGGTCGATACCACAGAGAATTCGACGATCAAACGATTAATCTTCGTAACGAGTGACTCGTTGAATTTCAAGATACGTAGCCTCGATAAGAGTGTCAAAGCGACAATCAAGCGTTTTTGCGCGAGATTAACATTTCAAGTTGCAACGAACGCGAGGCATTTTGCATTTCGTGCCGGCTGTAACAGCCATAAAGAAAACGAACGCGGAGCGTGTCTGACCTCTGAACGTTATTGCGACTAAACCATCTACGTGGCAACAGTGACACAAGAGGGAAAATCAGGTTCTTCAAGGTGGCCGTAACCACGGAATAATTCTTGCGCATGAAAGGAGAGAAGAACTAAGAGCGAGAAGAGATAAAGACCACGGAGAGGAGACGTTAAGTTCGTGACGATGCGTATATTCGGTGTCTCGGTCTCGGTGGAAATAAAACAACCGCGGGGGGAAAAAGGACGGTGATGTGGCCCACTTGCGGTGACATGACATAACCGGTACGTAGTTCCAAGGCGACTGGATGCGTCCAGAATTTCAATAAGCCTCTCTGGGTTCTCTCAGCCGCCGGAAATGTAATAGCTGTTTTCTCTCTTTGGTTATTTATTCATTCGATGAACTCTCCCTCCTTCGACGCGTTCCACACTCTGAAAGATCGTCACTGAAGTGACGCTTCAAAGAATTTGTCGGAAAGCGCATCCGTTGGTTCTCTCCTGGATTTACAAGCACGGGACGTACGAACCGAGTCGTCTTTGACTTCGAAAATCCTATGCGTCGTAGCGAGGTTACAATTTACAATTCGAATCAGATAATCTGGCTTCGTTAGGATGAAGTCTAGCAGGATTTTCTGTGTGACTTGGCATTTGGTTACGATTATCTTATTGTTAGATCATTGAATCTGTTTACGAATTATTTAGATGTGGACTTAGCACGGATCATCTCGTTGAATATCAAACACTATGGATTAGGATTTGTGTGTAAATGCTATTTACGAACGATGTACTAATCAGTTTTATGATCTTGAACCGATGCGAACGTGGTTTTGAGGTTAGGAAAGGTAGACTTCAGAGAAGTTCGAGCATGAAAATGGCGTTCTGAAGTAACTAGCGATTTCGAGGAGCACCAGTGTTTGCTCATACTAGACTGCAAGAGGGTTTCTGCGAAACCTTCGTTCGAAGAAAACCTCTTCCCTTGGTAACAGCACCAAACGACGAATACCGCGTAAATGTAAGAAAAAGCTGGCGTTCGAGTAGCAATCATACCGAAGGTTATGTACTTTTTCAGAGAATACAAAAACGGGGAACACAGCGGGAGATGCTAGTCGGGGAATATACGAGGGAAAGTATAAATCTTATCTCTATCTTCTTTCAATGGATAACATTCTGTCACCGTCGCTAAAAAATCATTAGACATTGATCCTTTGGCAATTGATCTCTTGGCTTCTCTTCCAGTCACTTTATTCTTCTCAACTCATCGTTCTCGAGTAAATAAAACCATTTTCCGACCTATACCGGAAAAAAAAAAAAAAAACAAAAAAACGTTGTCGACGTTGAGACATTCGAGAACGAGAACAGCCATGCGACGTACATCGGTGTTATTTCACTTGACGGGTACAGGGTTGCGATGGATACGATCGATTCCAAGGTTGACTAGGAACGAGAGCTAAAAACAGGAATTTCCTTTTTCCCCCATTGGCGAGCGCGATTCCTACCGGGGGCACGTATTATCGAGTCTCATCACAGAAGTCGAGTGAGCCCGAGTAGATGCGCGATCGGTGCTCGAGGAACAGGTTGCCATCCAGGTTTTTGCAGGTGGCTTATAGTGCAACCACTGTCCCCCTCCTCTCTTCTCTCGCCCCTTCGTCGCGGTCATCCTTGTCTCTCCTCTCCGTTTCTTTCCTCTGGCATTTCTAGGTACCTCCGTATCTAACGATCTCGTCTGCTCGGGCCCTCGGCTGCTCTTGAAACTGCTCGGTACAAAATGTTCCGGTCGAGAAACCCGCGAGCCAACGTTAGTTTTATCACGGTATCTTCGCAGCCATTTCGATTATGTTTCATTAGTGCAGCTACGAGATGAGCTCGCGATACGTAGGTGTAAAGATCGAAGGTGTATGGAACACCTGTTCTGCCGGTTGCACGTTAGATTAGAGTCTCCTCGCGCGCGTGCAACATCTCCAAACGATCGCGCGTTTCGTTTTATCGTTACCTCAGAATTCCACGGATCGACGTGCGCGAAGCAGAGACGAAAGCGCTAATCGGATCACACTTTCTTTCGTTGTTGCGCGCTGTCGTTTATTGCGGGAAATGAGCGATGCTTGAACTTTCACGATCGGCGTGTCTGTCTCGATAGTCAATGCTTCGGACTCGTGCGCGTGAAAAATGATTCCAACGTGTTACGTCATTAACGTTGCTGCCAGTTACACAGCCACGACAGTATTGTCTTCCACGTGGAACGTGTTTTCGCACGTGTTTGCTCGTGTCCAACCTTCGCCATTTATCTGGACCTGTCGCAATTTGTAGATCATCGTGTAATATTTTCTAAAGTCAAAGCGTTTTTATTTTCAATAATTCTTTAAAGAAAAAAAAAAAAAGAAATTCCTTTATAAACTCTATTAATCAATTCGAGACTTCTAGCACGCAGGCCGACAATATTAATGAAGCAACAAGTCGACAGTTTTACGTTCAAGATGATCGAATAATTTGTAACGTGTTTTCGCACGTGTTTGCTCGTGTCCAACCTTCGCCATTTATCTGGACCTATCGCAATTTGTAGATCATCGTGTAATATTTTCTAAAGTCAAAGCGTTTTTATTTTCAATAATTCTTTAAAGAAAAAAAAAAAAAGAAATTCCTTTATAAACTCTATTAATCAATTCGAGACTTCTAGCACGCAGGCCGACAATATTAATGAAGCAACAAGTCGACAGTTTTACGTTCAAGATGATCGGATAATTTGTAACTTGCGAAACTCGCTTGGAAAATTTCACTTATGTGCCTCTTATATTATCGGACAAGTAAAACTTGCGATCCCGGTGAAATTTTGTTAATAATATTGCAAATAGAGACTGCATGTTCGTTCAGCTGTTTTCGAACAACGTTGTTACAATAGTGGTACAGCGTTTCCGGCGTCGATAGGTTATGAATACGTCTTCTCATACGTGTATTCCTTATTTGGTCGGGCGGCTCGACACGGTTAGGATCCTTGAATTTAATAATGCCGCGTCTAGCCAGATTTATGTGCGCCGATATGAAATCGAGATTGCTCGAAGGTAGCTGGGTTTTTGACGTAGACATCTTCGTTCAGCCGGGGGAACTGTGCCATCTGATTCACGTGCCGGTGCGTAAACTTTATTCCAGTCACGTTCGCTTATGCGCATATGCGCGCTACGCACGGTCCTTTATTTTCTTTGCATCATTTGCGCACGTTCCTTGCGTTCAGATGCAAGGGTTCATTATAACTAATGACGCTGTAAATTCCACGATAACAATGCTAGATGCGCTTTAAACGCTAGACGCGTTTGATTAATATTTCTGCTACCGCTTGCGAAAGCTGGGTGGCCGTTCGGTCGGATGTGCGCCATTTTTACGCGGGAACCAGTTGGAAAATGGTGAACGCAAGGGGAACGCGGAAAGAAAAAAAACAAAAAAAAAATAAAAAATAAAAAAAAATAAAAGAGAAAGATTGAGATTCCTGCCGAACAATGGAAAGAATATACGGTTGGTGTAGCGGGTATACGCGATCGTGTAGGCTATATCGTATAAGTTCGCACAATGTCGTAAATAACGGGTCAGGATTTCAAGAGTACGCCTTTGCTTTCTACGAACGCGAAGCTAGCTATTATTTTCAAGCTGTACGCGATCGTGCCTCGCTTTTCCTTCGGCGTTTGTTTCGCCATCGTCGAATGGGAAATACTTTTACGTGGAACCTGTTCTCTCCTCGATCGATCGTGTCCTAATTTCAAATCTTTTTTATTCAAAATAGTTTTATTCAAACGACGAACGAATGGAGGAAAATTAGATAGGCGAGGATCACTTAGGAATGTGATAAATAAAATTTTGTTCATTTTCTATTGTGATATTGATTTAATAATTAAAAGAATAATATGCTTCAATGTTACGTAATTGCAAAGCTATTTGATCTGAAGACATAAAGCAGCTTTTAGCAATGGATTTCAGTGTTACATAATGTGTGAAATATAACTAATAAATATATTTGATCGATGAGAAATTACCTTGAAAGGACAGATCCTTGCAAAATTTAAATCTCGTATTTCCTAAATTAAAAATAAAAGTAATCATTTTGTACAGGTGTAATTTGCAAATTGAATTTAATACGTTTCTGTCGTTGTATGTTAAACAAAGGAGATAAGAAATCGATACAATTGCAAATAAGCGAGGGAAACGTTGGCTACTGGTTCTATGGCTTATGTTCGCAGCCGTGGTGAGCTGTAACGTACTTATCTGTATTCATGAACTTCTATTTTCAATAGCGTGCTCGAACCGTGCCACGTTGTCAGTTGCATCTTTTAAATTCTAATGCCAATAAAACCGCTTATGGGAGATCACAGTGCAACGCGAAATAACGTTAAACACATAAAACAGTGATTTATCGTTACGAGTTAAATATGTAAATGATATGGTATAATTAAATCGATCAAGTTCGACGATCCATTGGTATTTTATTGCTAAATCAAAAGTCCAATTTCCTCTCGCCAATCTGCGTTACCCTATCATCAATTCCGCTCTCCTTTATTTCTATACCTTCCACATCGTTTATGATTCATCCATTATATATGGAAACGCAAACATTTATTTATGTAAAAAGTTTTACATACATATACATACGTGTATCGTGTGTAAACGTTCTGAAATTTCACTATCAAATTTGGAATTAATTTGGAGATTGAAAATTGTAAAATTTAAATAAAAGTTGCACGACATTTATATTGAAAATTATTTCTTATTGACTGCTAGAAAATCTGCTAGAAAAATATCAGACAAATGAAACCTACTGTTAGAAAATCGTCTCAGTGGGGAGATGTGCCAATATTTTTTACAGTTGACGAAACAGTTCAAAATTATAGCGCGGCGAAATTTCAAGATACTTCGTGTAATACACACAATACATTCGTAAGAAATTTTCACAAACGTTCAAATTTTGCGAACAATCGTATGCAACAAACGGTCTCTTCGACTGACCTGGCGAAAGGAGAGTCAATCTTGTTGAAGTTTTCACGGCGTAGAATTCGAAGACAAAAGGCATCGACTTTGAACAGTCTAGATACAGAAGAGAGTTCACACCGTAGGAGGGGCAGTTCTTGTAAATAAAATCGAAGGGGATTCCATGGTGGGCCAATTTCGTTTCGCTTTCAGCCTCCTATTATCTAACTTGATTTCTGTGTCTCGCGTTACCGCTCCGAACCTGGGCCCTAATATCTGGCCCCTACGTGGCGAGAACGATTCTTTTCCCTTTTCTTGCTTTCTTTCTCTTTTTTCCTTCC